TTTAAATGGAGTTTTTTAGGGTAAGGGTGGGTGCCTATGTTGGATATTAGCGGAATTATAATGATTTTAATCAGACGCGGATTTGAATTTGACGCACAACATATATATGTAGAATAGAACTAGTGCAGAACGTATAGAAACGAGGCTGTGCAGAGCAGAGCAAGGTACTTAGCAAAAAATTGCAATAACTGATGGACTAGTGAGAGTGTTGCGATTGACGAATTTATTAAGGCAACACAGTTAGAATCAAAATCTTATATGGATACATTTCTTGAATGTATCCCTTTTTATAGATTTGAAAATGTTCAGGTAATTGGTCAAGGAGGTTTTAGCACCGTTTATTCAGCGCTTTGGTTAGATGGTGAAAGGCAACAAAAAGAAATCGATGGTGAATGGAAAAATATACGTTCTCAACCAATTAAAGTTGCTCTTAAAACATTGCCAACATCTAAAGATACAATTGATGATTTTTTAAAAGAGGTAACTATATTTTTTATTTATATTTGTTAATTTTCTATACGTATGAAACAATTAATTAATCGCATTTCTCATATATAAAGCTTCAAGTATATTATACAAATTCGGATAAATCTCATCATTTTCTCAAAACATATGGAATAACTTACGACCCAAATTTAAAAGTCTACATGATGATAATTGAATACTGTGACTATGGTGATCTTAGAACTTATTTAAAGACAAACTTTTCTAATTTGAAATGGAAATCAAAAATTGAATTACTTTCTGAAATCACCAATAATCTATTTTATATACACAAATACATGAATTTTTTTCATGGAAATTTTCATACTGGTAATATATTACAAGCAAATGATTCAAGATCAAAGATCGCAGATTTTGGATTAGTTCACCCGTTAAAAAAATTAAGCGAATCAGACAAAGGAATAATTGGTGTGTTACCATATATTTCTCCAGAGGTTTTAAGTGGACAGGAATATACTCAAGCTGCAGATATTTATAGTTTTGGAATGATCATGATTGAAATAGCAACGGGGAGACCGCCATTTAATAACATTCCACATAATGCTGAACTGGCACTTAAAATATGTGAAGGTTTGCGCCCAGAATGCGGTGAGGGTGTACCAGAATGTTATGTACAACTAGCCAATAGATGTTTGGATCTCAATGCCGACAAACGTCCAACAGTTGATGAAATATGGAATGTTATTTTAACCTGGGATAAAAGTTGTAATTGGAAAATTGCATACTTGGATCAAGAGAGGTTAAAAATTCGTAAAGAATTTGAAGAAGCTGATAACCTAATTCCCCAAATTGCTACAGCCGCTTATTCTGGTTCACATCCAGAAGCTGTATGGACGAGTCGTCTTTTATACTTTCCAGAACTTGCAGACAAATTATCGAATCTAACGCTTTAAGTGGTCGTAATTTTTTAGTATTGCGATAATCCGAATTATGATCGTCCGCAGTATATAATATTATACGGCATCTAGCACTGTACACGAGCACTGTACTGTACATGAGGAGTTTAAGCAAGTACGGTGTATTGTATCAATGGGAGGTATAATTCCGAAAGTTGTATTCCTTTTAAAATTATAATTTCATTTGCAAAGTTAAATATATTTGATTATATAATTGATATTACGTTGTGGAATCAAATTAATAATTAGTATATGAAATTTATAAAATTTTTTCTAGTGTTTATAATTATTTTAAATAAATAAAAGTAAAATGGACTAATACCCGTATGGCGCTAACTATAATACCCCGGGTACTATTCAATCAACCAACCATCAAATTTTTTGAATAGTACGTACCCTTCCGGATACTAATTAACTATAATAAGGGGCAATTTACATAATTTAATATTAGTTTAACTAGTCAATCAGACAAGCTTCTGTCTATGAGGCTAGGCCGCTAAAGCAAAATCGACTACAAACACTACTTCCAGAAGCGTGAAATGCTATTTTTAGATCAAAATTGTTGTTCACGTTTTTTTTAAACCTGATTTACTCTATGAGTGCTGAAAGGGAAAACCTACAATCGGGCTTTCAATTATATTTTGTATACAGTTTGTCCCCTAAGTGCCATCTAGGGAAAATCTATTATTTGGTTTTCAATTTTATTTTGTGATGAGTTGTCACAAAATATAATCGAAAGCCGATAATAAATTTTCCCTAGACGGCAATTAGGGGACAAACTTTATACAAAATATAGTTGAAAACACGATTGTAGGTTTTCCCTTGGCAGCACCCATATGTAAAAATGGGCTGTTTTAATAGATGACACCCCATATATATTTGTTGTACTTTTGTCGGAATTGCTTTCATAATATCATTACTACCAGACCTTTCATTAGACAATTTGTAAAAATCATTTAACAATGGGCTTAAAGGATTTATTATATCCTTTTCAAGGCGAAATTTATCTGATTCTTTCACGAGCCTTATGTCAAGGTTTCCTTCGATGTTACACTTGTATTGTTTCATAAGTTCTGAAACCTTATCTTCATGTATACTAATACCTTTTTTTAAATTAGTGACAAACTTTGAGACTTTATCATATAATTTATAAATATCCTCAGTTAAATAAACGGGATTATTCTGGTCATTAACTGGTCGTCCTACTTAAGACAACTTGGTAATTAGAGGCTTCATCTTTCAAAGAATTATTCTTCTGTTTCAATAATTCAATTTCTTGTAATTTAACTATTTGTTTGCTCAAATCATCTGTTTAAGACTTTATTCTCGTCAATACGTTTTGCTGTTTCCTTATGATATAGGTAAATTCCCAATTGAATACTTCGAGAACGAAGGAAACTGAAAATGTCTTTGAAACCCCCTATTGTACAATGTACGGTGCAGGAAATCTAAAAACCTCAATCACTTTATATAGAACAAAAAAACGACCAGCACGTTGAAGATAAGCTAAATTCATTAGCGGCTTATTTTAAGTTTCAGCTGTACACATAAAACAGCTCCTATTAAGTACAATCAGACCTCCCTAAATGCAATGCGACGGGACCATATATAAAAATTTAGTCATACGTGCATTTAGAGAGGTACTGCATTTAGGGAGGTAAAAATCTATAGATGTAATATTAGTTGAGCCCAAGAGAAGACGTGCATTTAGGGAGGTGTTGCGTAGGACGTGCACTTAGGGTGGTCTGACTGTACATATTTATTCTTTGATAATTTAAGAAATTTATTCTCAATGAGTTACTAGTTTATGCATTATCTTAGAGTGGAGATTGAGGTTTTTAAATTTCCTGCACCGTGCGTACATGCGCTGAACTTTAAAAGGGTCGAACGACTGGTGGTAATGCAATTAACATTTTATACAGTCAGACCTCCCTAAATGCAATGCGATGGGACCATATTAAAAATTTAGTCAAACGTGCACTTAGAGAGGTATTGCATTTAGGGAGGTAAAAATATATAGATGTAATATTAGTTGAGCCCAAGAGAAGACGTGCATTTAGGGAGGTGTTTCATAGGACGTGCACTTAGGGGGGTAGCATTTAGGGGGTCTGGCTGTATATAAAAACCCATTAATTTCAAATTAAAGCATTCAAATTAAAAGAAAAATGAGCGAGCTCATGACCTTAGCCGAAAATAAGTCAAGAATTGAGCAGAAAAGAACAGATGATAATTATTTAAGTTTCTTAAAAACAGTTGCAAGCAAAGATACGTATTTTGTACTATCTCCGAAACAATTCGAAAGATTAAAACTGGTTTCTGAAGCTATTTTTAAATTAGCTAATGAAACTTTATTAGAAATAATAAACCAAAATGAAGTAGAATCTTGGATGGAATCAAGATATGGTGTTGTTAAATCACTCTGGAAAAACGGTCAAACTGGAATAAATTTAGCCAGATTTGATTTTGCCTGGGATCAAGAAAAGAATTTTAAAATATTAGAACTAAATACAGGATGTTCTTATGGTTGGATATATACAAGTTTGATCGAGAAAGAAGCATCAGCTGACAAAATTGGTGTTTCTCTTGCTCCCTCACCAATGTTTTATACGAATTATTTGTTAAATAAGTTAGGATCAAAAATAGCAATTATAACTAAATTGACACTTCCAGAGAGTGATTTATTGGTAAGGCAAATTGAGATCATGGGTGGAGAAACCAAAATTTTATATCTCACTAAAGTTAGTTTCCAAGATATTATTGATTTTGCACCTACTGGAATATTTTGGAAATGTCATTCAGGATTGGTAGATCATTCAGAACTGATATTCAAGCTAGCCAACTTAAGATTACCACAATTACCTTCATTTGAATGTATGTTTATATCTGGTGACAAATCATTTTTAGCCATCCTAAACGATAGGGACACAACTGGTGCTATACCTAAAACTTACGTATTGTCAAAAAATAACTTGGCAAAAAATCTTAACTTCATAGAACAACATAAAGCAGTCCTCAAGGCAGGTGATTCAGCAGGAGGTAACGAAGTTGTATTGGGAAAAATTTTTAAAAATAGTTGGGAGGACAAATTATAAGAGGTTATGAATTCCAAAAAAGAATGGATAATACAAAAACTCTGTTATTTACAAAATACTAAAGATAATAGGTATGAAGATATTTCAGTTTTTCTTCTAACGAAATAATGAATGTTCAACAAGGTGGATGTAGACAGCCTGTCATCTTGATGGATGATAATTAAAAAATCCATATTGTTTTAAATAACTGATATTATGTTATGTTTAAAAAATTTATCAAGTTTACTATGAATAATTATTTTATTATGTTATTATTTTACGGATTTTTTATTTTGATATATTAGAGGTGCGAACAATAAACTATTAGCTATTATAAATAAACTACAGTTTTAGAGTAAAAAACTATAAAATTGATAATAATTCTTCTTTGTTACAATGGAATAAATAAAACCAATTCTTTAATAGTATTGTGCA